GCGCCTGCCCGCGCTCCAGTCTCGGCCGGCCGGACGCCCCCTCCGGGCAGCTCCGCAGCAGCAGCTCCACCCCGCGCCCCGGTCCCTCAGGTGCCCTGGTCACACCTGCGGTCAGGACTGACCACTGGTCAGGACCGAAGTCCCCAACTGCTGGACCTGACGAGCGGAAGCCAGGGAAGCCCGAGGTCTGTGGGCCTGTCACGGTGGGGGCGGGGGTGCAGGCCGGAGTCGGGGTGAATGGCGGGGCCGAGTGGACGAGAGGACGGGGTTCGGGGCAGCCTGGCGCCACAGTGACCAGGGCACAGGCAGGCCGGCCCGCGCCGAGAGGCCAGCAGTGCCCCGCAGGCCCCAGCCCTGCTCAGGTGCTGACCCTGGGGCTGGGCACACCTCCGGGGCAGGCGGCCACCCGGCAACACAGGACAGGCCAGGGAGGCCCATCCCGGGGCCCTCAGGGACAGGCGCACCTGCCGGGCCCAGCCGGCGCCTCCCCCAGGGCCACCCACCCACCCAGGGTCACCCCTGCCAGGAGACCCGCAGGCCCAGGCGCCGTCCACCCCCATCCCACCCAACAGCAAGGGCAGAGCCAGCTGCCCACGCCTGAGCAGGAAGTGGGTCTGGTCACCAGAAGGGGGTGCTGGGCGCGTGGGGACCCTCGCCCTGGGGACTCAGCCCCCGCTGGGCTGCTGCGGGCGGGGAGCGGCGTTCCCAACTCTGCGGCCCGCTGGCTGGAGTGGAGCCCCCACAGTGGAGGCGCCTTCCATCAGGGCGCCAGGCCGCGCACCCCCGCGGCTGTCCGGGCCTGGGGACAGTCTGCTCTGGCCGCACCCTGCAGGTGGGCGCTTCCTCCAGACTCAGGGTGGGGTGGGGGCCGGCCGGGGAGCCCCCCGAGGCCTGGTCTGCAGAGCCAAACCTGAAGAGCCAGTTCCAGCCTTGAATTTTCCCACAGAAAGTCCAAGGCGGGGAGTGGGGGGCTCTCCCAGGAAGGGCCAGGACCCCTACCCACAGACACCCCCGGACTCTGGGCGGGACCGTGTGAACGGCAGGCCACCCTGGGGC